CTCTCTCTCTCTCTCTCTCTCTCTCTCTCTCTCTCTCTCTCTCTCTCTCTCTCTCTCTCTCTCTCTCTCTCTCTCTCTCTCTCTCTCTCTGCCGCGGTGAACTGCAGCTGCATGTGCTAGCGCTGAAGCCCTATGTCCCTACTGCTATCGTCGACTACCGATACCACTACGAAGAGTACCGCTACGACACCGGTGTGAATGCCTGCCTCAAACTGAGGCTGACCAGCTATATGTAGCGCTTGTCCGGCCTCAGGCGTCGCCTTGGCGCCTAAATGCGGCGCCCAACGGTACCATGGAGGTCTAGCGTCTAACTGGCACGCAAACGGTACCGTGGCCTACGTATGGCGCCCAGGGCATGTGCCGTCTGGAAATCGTGCCCAGGGCCCGAAACGGCGCCCAGGGCCTGTGCCTCCTGGTGGAAATCAGCCCAGGGCCCGTGCCCCCTACTGCAAGCCTAACTGGGCCTCTAACCGGGGGCCGGCGCTAGTGAAACGATGCGCCAGGTCTGGTACTACTCGGCCTACTGGTCCTACTCACCCTGCTGACCCCCTAGGCCTACGGACCGGGCCCTGCGAAGGGCCCGTGGGGAACAAAGAATGCCACACCCCCCTCTCCTTGAAAGACCGAGCTTTACCTGTGAGGGCGAAGCTGTCTGTTGGAGAGAGGGACCGAAGTCCGGGTCGGAGGGTGTTACATGTTGCGCCTGCAACAGGCTGCACGGGCCATTTTCAGGCCCGTGTCGTTTTCAGCCTGAAAGCCTGAAAACAAGGGCCTACAAGCCCTGTGTCATTTTCAGCCTGAAAGCCTGAAAACAACGGCCTACAGGCCCTGTGTCGTTTCAGCCTGAAAGCCTGAAAGCAAGGGCCTACAGGCCCTGTGTCGTTTCAGTCTAAAACAGGGCCTTCCAGGCCCTCAGTCTTTTCAGCCTGAAACGAGGGCCATTTTCAGGCCCTCATAAGATCGACCTGCCCTGAAACTCAGGCACCAGACCAGGGTTTTACCACAGGCCATTTTGGGCCTGTTTTCGAGACAACCCTTGGTTGAGCTTCAACGCCAGTGTCTGACACGTTTTGGAATTGGCAAGAGCAGCCTCCTGGACGGGCCAGCACTATATAAGACTGGCCCGCCCTGCAGGCTGCAGGTAGTTCCTAGGTACTTCCCAGGCACTTCATGTGCAGTCCAGGAGGCAGGAGGTAGTCTTCAGGATTCGGCAGCAGCACTCTGGAGGAGCGCTGCAGGAGTAGTAGTAGCGCTAGCAGTAGTCTTCAGCGCTGGGCGCTAGTAGCGTTAGCAGTAGCCTTCAGCGCTGGGCGCTATTAGGAGCTAGAGTAGTACTAGAGAGATAGAGATTGGGCGGGGGCCAGGGAGACTTACCTGCAGCGCCATAGCTCCAGCTTCGCCTTCGAGGTACCTGCAGCACGGCGCCATCTTCACAGGTTAGTACCTGTCACATGAGAGAGAGAGAGAGAGTTATTCTTCCTCTTCTCAGTCCACCATCTCCCTCTCACCCTCTCGCTACCTGACTTCACTGCATCAGCAGACTACGAGAGAGCGGGCTTGGTGACCTTTGGATCCAGACTCGACATTGGGCTTCAGACATTTGACGAGGGACTATCTGGGACTTGTAATGAAGACTTGGTGTTGACGACATTCCCATCTTCCCCCTCCTTCTTCGTCTGATTCCCCTCCTCTTCGTCTGTGTATGGTCTGGACCTGGCGCATTCTTCCTGTTTGTAGCACCAGATCCCTTCACACCTTGTGATGAGGATGATGTATGTTTGGTCTGTATTGCGACTAGTCATTGGTATTCTAGCATTCTGCTGCGCTGTCTTGCACTACATAAGAGAGGTCAGTCCCGGTCAGGTCAGGACTTATATCTATGTCTTCTACTGCGCTACAAAGCACCATTTTTGTATGTATCAGGATGTACACTGCTCTTCCGGAGAGGCCCAAACAAGGTTGTCGGCGCGGAAAGGACATGGCACGCGACGCCGATTGGCTTGCTGCTGCATGCGGACTTGAGCCTTTTGCATGTTTGCTCAGGCTTGGGCCAGCAAGCCCCGGTACTTCCAAACGGAGGCGGGAGAGAAAGGGGCGTCAATGTCACAGTCCGTGGAAATAAAAGATCAGTGAAGATACGGCCTTTCCAGCCACCGTGATGCAGCTCGAATGGAGTCACGCCGATCGCCAGATGCAACGCAGTGTTGTAGGCGAATTCGATGTCCTCCAGAACGCCGTGGCTGCAAATCCAGCCGGTGTGCAAGAGTCATGCGACCTCGGAAGCCATGGCGTTATACTTTCAAGGAAGAAATTGCACGTACTTACTCAAACGGTCAACGACAGTGAGAATGTCGTCGTGCCCGAAGCGATCACGGGGGATGGGCCAGTGACATCCATAGCAACAGAGAGGTCGGCTCGGGATGACAATCAAGTCGTTAAAGGGCAATAATAAGGAATAAGGAGGAAAATGAGTTTTGACAATCATGAACCCAACACTTACGAACCCCGAACACCTTGTCTCAAGAGGGAAGTAATAGCATCCTCCGATCTTCGCGACGGCTTCTCGTACGTCCCACTCGCATACACGTGGCCTTTCCTCGTTATACGGGAATGGGCATTGTGGGAGTACAGGAAATCGGTGCCCTCGGGTCAGCCTGATCAGCCCACATGGCGTAGGCTAGCTAGAGGCATGAGTCTATGCAATCCGTCATTCAATCGACTCAAAAATTCAATTGTCTAGCATTTATTGAAAACAAGAACAAATCTAAGTAGAACATGCATAAAAAGGAAATACATAAAGGTCTAACTTATTCATGTCATCAAAACAGCAGTTCGTCCGATGCATGCAAGAAGGCGCTCCTCTCCCAACTTGTTTTTGTGCTCCAATGAGTTCGCTCGATGAAACTTGAGCATCAAACACAAGTAGGGGCAAAAGATCACGCATACATGAAGAATCATCACAAACACGCATCATTCATTATGCACAGAGGTGTGGAGAGAGAAAGGCGAGGTCATTCGATCTCGCTGGCCCCTGAAGTTCAACGATGCTCGTCCTCGCGATATTGATTGGACTTAAAGAGATGAGCGAGGCGAGATCTCAGAAATTGATAGGTGCGAGGAAGACATTTGGCCATTCAATCTTCCATGAAGAGAAACAAAGAGAGGGGGAGACAGAGACAGAGGACAAAAAGTGTTGGCGGAGCCGTAGCTTGACCGAAGACAGGGACTAAAGAGAAAGGAGTTACAAGCACACAAGTAGATCTGAGGAAAACCAGCATTTCATTATGAACTTAGCTTCCAAAATAAGAGAAGGACGAAGAACAAGGCCCGCAAGCCTTCTGCTCCCTTATATGGCCCCTGGCCATGCAACCACTTAGCTTCCAAAATAAGAGGACGATGAAGAACAAGGCCCGCAAGCCTTCTGCTCCCTTATCATGGCCCCAGGCCATGCAACCACTCATACGCACACCTTCCTTACCTCCACACCATAGCGATCGTCAACCCGGCAATATATATATATATCGTCACAATATATATATGTTGTCCTCTTCTCTCTCTCTGCCTACGGTTTACCGGGCAGTTCTATTTGTGACGATATATATATATATATTTGTGACGATATATATATATGACGATATATATATATATTTGTGACGATATATATATATGACGATATATATATGACGATATATATATATATATATATATATATATCGTCACAAATAGAACTGCCCGGTATATATATATATCGTCACAAATAGAACTGCCCGGTAAACCGTAGGCAGAGAGAGAGAAGAG